TCACTAACTAATTTCGAGAGGAGCACGTGATATTATTGAGCATGACTGGCTGCTCATCTGTAATCAGTAACAATCAGGGTGATCCAAGCTTACAATAGATTGTTTTCTCCCTACTGCTCTATCTTCTTTTTGGAAGAATCCCTCCCTTCCACCCCATCTCCTCCTTTTCTTCCATTTTCTAAGGGGAGCTCTCAGGGCCGGAGTGGGACTCCTTTTCAGCCCTGGAGTTTCAAGCCTCAGACCGGCCCACCTCAGTTCACGACTGACTATATTAAAATAAGGTCATTCCAATTCAGTTTCTGATTACACTATCACGTCTTTTTTTGAGAAAACAGCTGCTTTATAACTTAAAATGTTCAACAACCCTAACAGTATTATATGTCTTAACAATAATTTTAAAAAAAATAACATACTCAGACGAAGCTCAAACCCAGGTCAGCAGTGTCGTACTGAAACGTGCTATCCACTGGACCACAAGAGCTGTGTATTGAAGCGTGACTCATCTGAGTTATATCATCATTAACCTGCAGGCTAGTTTTATATATATATAAAGAGCAGAGCTGCGCTAAAATAATGAATAAGAAGACTGTGGTCAAGTAAATAAATTAATTAATTTAAAAAGTGTGACTGCTGAGAGCAACAGATTCTGGAGCTATAGGGACACCGGCCCTAGCAGCCAAAAAACGGACCGGCCCACCGGGAATTCTCGCGGTCCTCCCGATTAGCCGATCCGGGCCTGGGAGCTCTCGAGACCTACCTGATTTCTGATCCCCTTATATGCTTATTGCCCGGGCGGGAGCCTTGGGCTCAAATATCTCCGAGATCAGGGTTCTCTCCCGGGACAGCATGCCAAACCTGCTATAAACGCTAAGCATATCTAAGTGGGAACTTTTGAAGCAGAGACACTTCCGAAATGAAGCGCAGATTCAGAGTTCCACATGAGGTTATTAATTAGCGAATAAAATAAATATTACGAGCGTAAACATTAGGTGAGCAGGTTACATTGTAACCCTGTGTCCAGTCAACATGCTACGTGACTATATACACAGTGATCAGCAATCTGTCTGTTTGCACCAGACGAAACACCACAGATATTTAAATACAGACATTCAGAAGCACAGAATAGTGCACTTACTGCACTTCAACGAAATAGTAAGGTTTATAATATGATTAGGCCCACACGGAATCTGAATTCCACAGATTTTCCGCAGATTTTGCGCAGAATTCCTCAGATTTCTGCAGATTTTTAGCCCATTATTAATTCTGTTTATTTACTTGAGTAAATGTGTAAATCTGAATTTATTCAGTTTTTATTCAGTAACTTATTTCTTTTTATTTAAAATATTAAGGTTTTAGTTATGATACTAAATACTACTTACTACTTGATACTACCAAAATAATTCCGCAGAAATCCGCAGATTTTTGCCAAAAATCTCTGCAGAAATCGCAAAAAATGTCTGCAGATTCCGTCTGGCCCTGAAATGATTAATACATATTAAACCTCTTTAACAGTAGCAAATGCACATGCAGTGTTCAATTTCAAACGCTTTATTTAAGTTTCAAGATCTGAGGTGAACTATCTGCTGCTGCTTTCAGTAGTATGGCAATAAATGTCATATAAAATGGCACTAAAACTTGTGTTATTAACGTTTAACACTAAATAAAGCACATGAGGTGTACCTGAGGGGATCAGTTTATCCTGTTGTTCGACTGTAAGAAATTGAAGCCATTTCTAAAATTTAAATTTCAGGTGTTGCTTAGTACAAAAACTCCTTTTAATAAGGTAAATACTCCTTCTATCGTGTACTGTTGCTTTTATTTAGAACATGACTTAAAGCAGCCTTTAGGCTCAATCGTCAGACTCGCTCCTGTAGGTGTCGTCAATATTAAAACCTGCGCTTGCAAGTGTTTTGAATCAGAAGTGCAATACCTACTTTAACCACTGGGTGTCAAACTTACATTACTTTAATCATTATTTGGGAAATAAAAAATAAAAAAACATTCTCAGAAGGGCTAATAATTATGACTTCAGCTGTATACTGAAGAACATTGGCAACCAAAAAAACTAAAATTCACTAAAGCTTATGTGTGAGTAGATATATTTGAAATGTTTATTTTTGTGTGAACTGTCCCTTTAAGGATATCCTAAGGGAAGAGTTCACACTTCTGGTCTATTATTCAGACTGTTGCTCTGATCAGCATATGGACGCATTAATAATGTACAGGAGATGTTTAGTATGTCACGCGCGTTCCTCCAGCTTCAGTTTCACTAATGCAGGATCCACTGGGAGAGGGAAATAGTCCCATGGGATGCACTTTTTGTTTTACAGTCACTTATACATTCCAAAAAGAAGCTCATCTTAACCCTTTCTGTGCATTTGGTCATTATAAAGAGAGATTTTTGTGACACTTGCTATGTTTTTTTTTAATAAATGGGTAGTGGCACGGTGGCTTAGTGGGTAGCACTGTCGCCTCACAGCAAGAAGGTCACTGTGTTGCTGTGTGAGTCCCAACTGTTTCAGTTGGCATTTCTGTGTGGAGTTTGCATGTTCTCCCCTGGTTCATGTGGATTTCCTCCGGGTGTCCAAAGACATGCACTATGGGGAATTGAATAAACTAAACTGGTCTTAGTGTATGTTTATGAATGAGATTGTGTGGGTATTTCCCAGTACCCGGGTTGCAGCTGGAAGGGCATCTGCTGTGTAAAACATATTCTGGATTAGTTGGCGGTTCATTCTGCAGTGGAGACCCCTGATAAATAAGGGACTACGGTGAAGGAAAATGAATGAATGAAGGAAAAAGATAAATGGTTGACGATTAATAGCTGACTTTAGTTGTTTGTTGTCAAAAATGAGAACAATGAATGGTAAACTGTATTATATGAGAGCTTTGTTACAGTGTAGTGGTATTGCATTTGCATTGTCAATCTTATACATATATTATTATTACCATTTTAAATAGTTTTTTTATATAAATTTTTCAGCTTCTATACTTTCAAAATTATGCCGATTTTACTTTATTTTATATTAATTTTTTTTACTTTATTTTCTTTAATTTTATTTAACTTTATTTGTCTTTATTTAATTTTCTTTTTTTTACTTTATTTTCTTTTTCTTTGTTTTACTTTGTTTTATTTTACTTTATTTTATTTTACTTAAATTTTTATTTTTTTTTACTTTTCTTTTCTTTTTTTTTCTTTTCTTCTATTTTATTCTACTTTATTTTTCTTCATTTTATTTTATTTTACTTTATTTTTGTTTTTTGTCTTTATTTCATTTTATTTTATTTTATTTTACTTTTTTTACTTTATTTTTCTTTATTTTGATCTACTTTATTTTATTTTACTTCATTTCATTTTACTTTTTCATTTTACTTTATTTAATTTTACTTTATTTCTCTTTATTTCATTTAATTTTACTTTATTTTTCTTTACGTAACTTAATTTTACTTTAATTTTCATTTATTTAATTTAATTTTACTTTATTTTATTTCACTTTATTTTTGTTTATTTTATTTACTTTATTTTTGTTTATGTAATTTAATTTTACTTTGCTTTATTTTATTTTACTTTATATTTGTTTATTTTATTTTACTTTATTTTATTTTTAA